ATTTCAGCTGCTAAAATGGTGTATGACATCATCTTTTTGTGTAATTTTGTCTATTCATTCTGTTTTGTTTTGTTGATTATTAGGTATTTGAGGTTGTAATATTTCTCAGCCTTTTTGCAGCATAACTTTAGGCCAGCAAGAAATATTCCACCACAAAAGTAGAGTTCTTTAGCTCAATGTTCAGTTCAGTGTTTAGTTCTCTGAAATTTAGCTCTTGTTATTTACAGACATCTTCAATAATGCTTTTGACTCTCTAGGAAACTAGCCTTTTTCAGAAAAGATTTTCCACTTCATTTTTGGTTTAACACTTTGAATTATATGCATATACTTTTATAACCAACAAAACAAGTGAGTTTCTAAGAACACATTACTTGTATCTAAGGACATCTCCATATCGAACTACACACACAATACTACATATAAAATTGTTCTTGTATTATATTCTCCTATGTGTTTGTGGTTAGTTGGCCAACAGCTGTGGCGGTTGGCCAGCAGCTAAACACCACATATTTCTTTGTTGACAGGGACTTGCTCCTTGCCCCAGTAGGACTGGGGAAAGAATAGGACATGCAAAAGTGAGAAAACCTGTGTACTTGTGTGTTGGTAAGGACAGTTTAATGAAGGAATGAAAGAAGACTAAATCCCCCAAGGAATGTAGATCAATGCCTAGCCAGTCTCTGAGCAAACAGATCACCACCTCCTTTAGATTTTGTTGTTAAGTGGTGTATGTGGGAAATGTCCCTTTGGTCACTTGGGGCCAGCTGTCTATCTCAGCTGGGTTCCCTCTCCCCATTGTGTGCATCCCAAGCCCACATGCCCAGGTGGCAGCACGAGAAACAAATGACCCTGACACTGTGCCCATGCTGCTTAGCAATGGCTGGTATGTTATCAGCACGGGTTTACTTACAAATCCCAAACACTGCACCTTAGAAGATGTTGGAAGACAATTAACTACATCTCCATTTGTGCTGTAAGATAAGCCAGCAAGAAAAATACTGTTCTGGTTTAACAGAGACCTTAGGATTGAACTTGTGACAACAAAAGAGTGTAGCATCTCTGAAAGGATGAACAGGTAATTTGGGGGAACTATGAAGATTTTGTCAAGTATGTGGACAGAAAATTAGAAGAGCCAAAGCTAAACTGAACCTTAATTTGACCACTGTGATTAAAAACTAGGCAATTTTGAAGGTCTCTCCCAACTTTGATTATTCTGTTATCTCAGCCAGATGCAGCACACTGTTATTACTATAGTACAAAATACAGTAAAACTTTAAATTATCCATGACTCATGAGCTATGGCCTCTGACACGAGATCTGCAGCAGTGCAAGACTGAAGTCTGCCTGTACGTAGGTATAGTGCTAGCTAGCATCAGAATTTGTCTTGGGATCATTAAGTTTTACAATGCTACAAACAAAAATATTATGTAAATTAACATGGTAATTACAGGAAAAATTTTTGGCGTTGCCTTGGTCATACAACATTACTTAGCGCCATTGATCAAATTGTGTTAATTCCAGTATCAACTAGTGTCCGTGTTTTGGGATGTGGAGGCTTTATTAATAGTGTGCTGTCAGGGTCTTTGTGCCACCAAGGCTTCCTTGAGTGTTTAAATATGACCTTCTAGTTGAAAGAAGACCTTTGTCTTTTTACGTCTCAAAACTGGCAAAATATGCAGTTCTAAGAAGTGGTTATATTCCGCGGCCAAATTTGAAAACAATATATTCTTAAGAATGAATATTTGAAGTAGTGAAAATAAAGTAAAAAGGCTTATAATGGAGATACCTCAGAATTATTTGTAGCCCAACATCTGTAATGTATATTATAGAAATGATATGGAGTTGGTTGGTAATTCAACAGTTGTTAATGATTAAAAAAGACTAGGAACTTTAAGGTAATTTTGTTAGAATTTTAAGCTTCTTTTTTTCTTGTCAGATCAGTGGTAGTTGCACTGGTCTGACAAGAAGTATAGATTCGTTTCAGGAATTAATCAAGAATTCCTATTCTAGTTGGCTGGTAGTGGCAAAGTGTGTCCCACAGGAATAACTCTGATGGTAACATCTAAGTTAGGAAAATGGCTTTGCTAACAAAATACCCTATACATTTGACAGCGAAAGAAAGTAACCAAAGATAAAATCTCAAATCCTAGTATTACTGGTATTAATAAAGGCATTGTTATAAATCAGTGTAGCACAGAAGTAATGTACTGCACTGATTTCATTTTAGGTGGCTTGCATCACTACATATGCTTATTAGTTAAAAAAAAATAGTTTTGAAACACACAGAGGTAAATATTTTAGTTCAAAATTCTACACCTAGCTCCAGAATGTTTTTGTTCTTAATTGAGTCTTCAATTCAAATCATTGAATTGAATTGTTCTTAATCTCCAGAATTGTTCTTAATCACAGAACAATGTTATACTGCCTTCAGCACACTCATCAGCAAAACCTGTGTCGTTTAACTCTTGAGTCATTGTACTTTTGAGTTTGGAAATGGGTCTTTCAGTTTCTGAAAGCTGTGTGCCTTGAGACTGAATATATCTATATTGGAGCATGAACTGATATATAAATTAAATCACTAATAACTAAACAATTTAGCCCATTAATATATTAGCATATGATGGATGAGAAAATAACAGAAGAAAAAAGATACCTAAAACTGCAGGAATACTATAATTTTCAAGGCACTTATTTAGTGATAAAATTGATATCAAATCATTATATCAATAACATGAAGGAGGGAGGTTCAAAAATAGCTATTCTCTCAGAGTCTAGTTTTAATGTCCATAAAATAGCCTTATTTTTCACATATGCTTTGTGCTTTTCATATGCTTTAGTGTATTTGAACTGCTCAAGGGACAGAGGAATTGAAGTGCAAATTCTCCATATGAATGATCTGCTGTGATTATATATAAAGTGTATGCTTGCATAATAAAATCTATTAGTTGTAATTTTCTCTTTCTGTGATTTTTGTTTAAACTTGCTTTTTACTTTTTTTTTTCCTCAATTTTTTATTTCTTTTTAAAAATTGATGCTATAGATTCTTCAGTGTCTTTCTGATAACTTTCTTTCTGGCACCTTCATTTCTAGAACCGTGGACTAAAAGACAATCACACTGAAGCTGCAGTAGCAGAAGTAGCAGAAGTTCCACTACTGCTATCAGCTTGTTCATTCATCATTAACTTCTTTTGGAATTTCAATACACCAATAACATTTATGTAATAATGTAAAATGACTATTGCCTGGCAATTTTTCTGTGTTTTCTAAGGCAATCGAGGAAATGTTTAACATTGCTTATTATCATGGGCTTTTTTGTCTGTTTTTGTTTTTTTGTAATTTTTTGTAGCCTTTCCAAGTGGCTTTGCAGGTAATTTTCTTGCTATTTTGTTCCTTTAATTTACATTTCCCTTTGCATCTTCTAGAGTGATTCCTTATGCCTTAGCGAGATCTCTTTTTAAAACATGGGAAGCTGATTCAATTTGATTGAAAAAGTAGGGTTGAACTTATTTTTCCATTGTCAAATACATCTCCTATATGTTGCAAGAGCCAATTTACTGTTAGACCATTTCAAATGCTACAAAAACATGTGATTTAACTGTATTTTTTTTTTCATAGTGTGTGTGTTTCTTTTTGGGGTTCCCTCTTCTCTTAGTCTATTTCCTTCTATGAGCTTAGTTCATGTTGCCATAAGTCCCTGCCCATTACATTTCAAGTTTCTTTGTTCCTCTCAGCTCTGCACTTTCAGATAGGTTTATGTCCGAAATAGTTTGTTGGAAATTCTGTGGATGAAGGGACCCACACTTGAATCAAAAAATTGGACAAATTTCACTGTACCTCCTCTCCCTAGACTTGTAGGGTACTTTTAATGATTAAATTTTATTAAATACAGAAAAATGTTAAGTTGGGAAGTGGTAGGAAAAAAAAAATCTTAAGTTGGGAAGTGGTAGGAAAAAAAAATCTTGGAATTGGATGAGTCTGCTTTATTGAAATGTATTAGCAAATGCTCTCTAATGACTGTTTCAGATACACTAGAGGCTGTAGAATACTTTACCCAAAATGCAAATAAACGGGCTTCATAATCCTGTAGTCAGTTTCTATGAAATGAAGGTATTCTGTAGAAAAAGAGCAGCTGATCACCTACTGTTGAGATGTATCTTAATAAGATGAGCGTCACTAGGATGATCAAAAGAAAACCTTCTTTGCTCATTTTTAACTCAGCCATGGTGTTTGTGTTGACAATCACTGTTCTACTTGAGTCATGGAAGTTGAATATTCTAGGAGAATCTTCTGAAAATTGATTAGTACTCTTGTTTGTTAGTCAACAATTTTTAAATAAAATTGTCTTGCTCAGATTTTGATGAAATCTTTTTGTCATAGTTATATAAATATTAAACCAAACTTACTTCAGTTATAAAACTGATGAATTACACTATGTTGAGTGTTATTTCATTGAACCAAAGAACTTAAGAAATAGGTAAGATAGGAGCTTGGTAGCCAGGACAGTTTTAAGTAAGCCTCACCTGGTGGGAAACAAAATTTCAAGTTTTGAATAAAAAGGTATATTGGTGTTTCTGCATGCAGAGAATGTCAATAAGCTTAAAAAAAAAAAAAAAAAAAAAGGCATTCTATTTGACCACAATGAAGCCTGACATGTTCTTATTTCAAGAACATTTTTGTTAGACTGGGTCAGGAAAAGATTTTGATTCTGTGGAAGCTGCTTTGTCTTACTAATGATGGCACTATAGGAATTGTTACTCTCCTGAAGACATTCCAAAACATTATGTACATTTAAAAAACATTTTGGTTTATTGTATTAATTCATGTTTTGTGTTCTAAGTAGCATGTTATTTAATATTCCAGCACGTATCCTGTTGAACCAATAATACAGAATAAAGATAATTCCCATCTAAAGGAGCTTAATCTAAATGATACTGTTTTTTCCATCTTGTTTGCACTATTAAAAAAAAAATGACAGTAGCGTATTTTTTGCTTATCTCTTCTAGACTCTAACTGGAGAGTTACATCATAGTGTACAAGAGCTGAGAACAAAAATCAAACTGGCAAAAAAAATGGAGAAATGAAAGCATGCAAAAAGGGCCTTTCCCAAAAGAGTCGTCAGTTAGCAACGTCTATCCTTAATGTTTAAACAACTGATCTTTACGAAATACTACAAGAAGGAGATGATCAGGTAAGTTATTACAAGGACTTCAGTAAAAAAAGCAAAGATGAGAAGATGCTGACTATATCCTCCTTGAAGGAAAGGATTTGCAGGTAACAACTGAAATTTCATTGTGCAAGATACAGCACAGAAATCAAGAAGGATTTAATCTGAATGAAAAGGTCAGGTCAGATATTCATAAGGTGGCAAGACTTACAGCATGCATAAATATACACATACTGCTTTGAGCATGTGTATGTAGAGATAGTATTCCATATTTTCCTATACTGTGAGGCTATTTGGCATGATTGTATGTTTTAAATAGACTTCTGCATTAAAGAAAACAAAATTAGAGTGTGTCTTGCTGTGCCAGATTGATTTTGTTATACTTCCTCCATGAATTGTGATACCTATTAAAGGTATTTCTGGTAGACAGATGGTTTCTGTGTGAATTCATTACCTTTTTTGTTGATTCTATCATACATTTTACTATGAAATATTTGATAGTGTTTCATCAAATCACTCTATTAAATAGATGCAGTGATGGGGTTTCTTATCCAGATTTATTTAGTCCTGATCAAATAATATGTGAAAAAGCCTGTACAGTTACTTTAGCAAGTGTCTAGGAGCTGGCCATTATTGGCCTGTAGCAGTACTCTGGTGATGACTTTGGTTTATATTAAAGCAGCCACAAAAAGGATGGTGTCCTGTTGGTGAAACAACAGTGCATGGTATGTGTATGCACTGATAGAGATTACACTCATGAATACTAATAAAATGGGCTGATCCCTGCCATTTTTACTTACATTTATACAATCCTATAAAGCGATTCACTTTGACAGAATTGTTCCAAACTTATCTCATTCTCAAAGTAATTTCTACATCCTGTATCTTTTTTTTTTAGTCACTGTGAATATATGTGTAAAACACAAAAACATACTTAACTATAAATATAGAACAAATTTATTAGGTAGGAGATGAATTTACACTACACATACACTACATATTCTATCAGTGCGCAGACTCAGAAACATTTATTAAACTCATAAAATTTAGACATAGATTACACATATGCCTCTATATTCATATGAAAAGAACATGCTATGATATTTCTAGAGGCATGAACAGACAAGGGTAGGTTTAAAATTTTAATAGAGCACTGATACTTGATGATTATGCTTCAGAAAACTAATTTTGCAAATGTGATTCCAATTTCCACATACTCTGTATTTAACGTATACCCAGTTACACATTTCCCTTTTTGTTCCTGATGTTTTTCTTTATAGGAAACAGCAGAAACGAAAGTGGAATTTGAAAAAGATAAAGAATGGCTACAGCATATACAGAAACTTCTTGAAGGTGTTCAATTAATATAATCCCACGATGAATTATAACTTTCTGCTTTGATTAGCTATGTGTTTTTAGGTTTTAATTAATACATTGTATTTGTAATTATGGTGCCGTTGATGGTCTCAAACTATACTGTGATGAGCAATGTGAAGTCCTTGTTTTGTGGCATTTCCTTTGTATTTCTCTTAAAATCAGAGTTACTGTGTAAAACTGAAGAGATGTTAATCAAGGATTTGTGATAGCTAACTTAACAGCTAACTTAAGCTAACCTAACCAGTAAAACAATTCAAGAGAAAACCAGCACAGATCTTGGCAAATGTGTTAATTGAATTATTGAAACACTGTATAATGCTTTCTAGAGTAAAAATTATCTGTTCTCTCATACCTCTTAGGAAAAAGAGACTTTTTTTTATGTGCCTTTAAAGTTACTAGTTGTTATGGACACCTGAGGAGTTCATGGGTTTCTGTGACCTTTTACTGTGGACCTGTTTCCAGTCAATTCATGTTTTCCTCATAGCCAGACAGCTGTTTATTATCGTGTCTTCTCGCATTCTCTACAATATTTTCTACTGAGACCTCGAGCAGCTTGTTAGTGGGAAGTAAATATTGATTTGGCATCCTGTCAATGCAGAAAGAATGAAAAAATTTCCACCAGAGGCCCCTCAAACATTTTCCTATCGACATTTTCTGGGCAGAGAGGAAAGCTGCATAGAGGATGACAAGTCTGAGACTAGCAGAAATCCCTGAGGGGTCCATTGAGACTGCTGCTGTGACCTGTGTGATACTTTTTCTTCTCTTTCAAGTCTTTTTTTTTAATACACACAGAGTCTGCTGGGATGCTCCCCTCTTGTAAGTGATCAAGGGCAGTTTATTGGCAGGTGAGAGCCCAGCTTTTCTACCCATAGTCAGCTTTTGTTTGGACATCACTGACAACATATCCTGACTCTTAAAACTTTTCTGTTACATTTTTAGTTTTCTCTTTTATTTAAATGATGGGCAGCTGATGTCTGGAAAGAAATAAAACTTGATTGTAAATCCACTGCATAATGCATATTCACTAGCATGGATCCATTAGTGAAGTAGTAGTTAAGAATATGAATGATTGAAAATATTTTGAAAGCCCTTTTAAAGAAACAGACACAGAATTTATGTATTTAACCATCAATAACTTTTGTGTTGAGATTGTATTCTTGTGACCAGGTTCCTAAGAAATGATAGATTTTCCCTCTTTCACTATCAAACCTTGAAGACTGCTTAATTGCTGCAGCAGAGGAAATAGAAATATCAGTGTGCTTTTACTGGCTTTGTCAAAAAAAAAGGCATTTTAATTAAACCTCATAATGCTACATGAAACTCAGCATTAAAAGCACAATTATTTATATTGACTTAATTGCCTTAATTTTATATATTTTTAAAAAATATATACATTTCAAGATTCTGTTCATATTATGGGCTCCAAATAATGAATCAGATCCATAAAATACAATGAAGACTTCTTGTTCCGTTTTTCATTGTTATTTGGTAAATAGCTAAAAAATATTAAGCAGAATTGTATCACTTTTCTTCATCTGCTATAGACAGGCAGCAAAAACCAGGGTATGGAGATTGAAGGAATTGTTGAATCAAACCAGGTATATTAAGATTGCAAATGTTATATAAGGATAGAAGATCTCATTGTTCTTAGCCATGAATGTTTGTGTACAAGTTAATAGTGATTTTCTGTGATTTTTGCTCCATCTTGTGGGGTTCCTCAGAAGAAACACTGAGGGTAGAAGTAATTTTTGGCTAGCAGACCATTGTAGAATTGCAAGAGGATTATAGTGGTTTTGGGGAGCAGCCAGCTCTGCTTTTCATTTCTGTCCATGCTAAGGCATATAGATGGAAACAGTTAAGATTTCTTCATCTGTATTTGAGAGCAGCTCATGGAACAGCTCTGTGCCTTTTAAAACGCTTTAGTCATATCTTGCAGAGTTTGCTTGTGGTTTCTTTTAGTAAGCTTTGGTAATATTTCTGATCAGCAAACTAAAGCCCATGTTGAAATGTAAGCTTTCTGCAGGGTTTTGCTCATAAGAGACAGCCTGCTAAGTGTTACGTGTTGGCAAACTGTGCTACCCATTTGCGTCCTGAACAAAGATGCAGGATTGCCCTTTTCTGATTTTCTGAGTAAACGTTCAGTGGAAAATTGCATCAGATCACTTAATATTGCAGTTTGATATAGTGTCTTTTTGTGCCATTGAGCCAGGACTTTGAAACATAATTGCCCAGCAGTATTGATTTAATTGCCTAGGTTTATTTGTGGACTCCTAATTATTGACTGGAGGTAAATTTAATGGAGAAACCTTTATGAACACTGGGAAACTGCTGCTATTGCTGTTATACATAATGAACTGCATCATATCCCTTCAGATCATTCTTCAAGCTAATTTTATTCGACTGTGACAGTACGATAACATTTAAAATGTCATAGACATTTTATTTTTATTACTGGCATACGCCATTTTACTGCTGCACTAGAATTTTTGGGGGGACTGAATGAAGCACTAGTTGCTTTTTACTGTCATTTTATAGATTCCCCTAAAGTGTAATAAAGGATAAAGGATGCCACAACTCTGTTTTCACTTCATCTGTACCTTTATTTTCCATACTCTTATGGACTTGGAAAAGTCTCATATCTGTCAGCTTTACAAAATTATTAATATTTTAGTGGTAAATACTCTTGCATTCCTGAAAATCACAGATACCAGTTAGAGTTTGTGTCCTTGTTTTATCAACCACTATGTCAAGAAACTAGACCACTACTAAGAGGCTTATGATTTAAGAGACATGTCTGCATAGTGATGTTGTTATGTAAAAAAGAATAATGTAATAGGAAAGTACAGTCATATTATAAACTCAGCAGAGCTGGTAAAAATTACTAGTTGTCTAAATCTATGTCTTGAATGACCAGGAAGTGGGGTTTTAATCTGTTGTCTCTGTATTTATACAGTAACACTAGATTGTTCTCACTAAAGAACGAAATAATAAAAATAAATCATCTCAATAACTGACACTGGGATAAAAAGAAAAGGTTCTTTGGCCTGTGAAGAACCTGTTTGCAGAGAGTTTTCACATGACTGCACAAAAATACCTGCTACCTGCACATGTGTAGAGGTATCAGACTAATTACACATTACTGTTTGGGTTTGGGAGAAGTCTCATGTTACAGGTGTTTAAGCTTTTAGTGTTTTATTTTATTTAGGGGGAAATAAGTATGATTATCTCAATGTATATGTGTATTTACATCCTGCAAGGCAAGTGATGAGGCTTTTACCCACTTTATCCCTCACATATGAGTGTTTATGTCTTATTAATTGAGTCTGGCTCTTTACAGTAGCAATCTCTTCTTATATCCTAAACACTTCCCCTAAAACTCAAACAAAAGCAACCTTTTTGAGTTTTTTCCCCATCATAGGAAACTTATGGCTAAGCCAATACATGACTTCTTCTCATGTAACTTAAACATGATTTCTTTTACTACCCTTGGCTTTCATTTACTGTGACTTATTGTAAGGCACACCATCTCAGAAAAATCTTAATAATTTTGTGTGTGCCACAGTATGGTAGGTAGCCCAGATTACTGCCTGAAGTCTCCAAGATTTATTTTTTAATAAAATGCAAATAATCTGCCTAAGTTTTTACAGCAGCACTTGCCTTTCCTCCCTCCTCATGCACTCCTTGGGATATGACATCTCACACTAACAAAGCTGCCTAATAAAATCTTTTCTCACGTGACTTCATTATGAGTCTAAAAGTCATATTCCAATAATGAAAACTTTCAGAAAAGCTCCCTTTCCTCTATTCTGTCGGCACTCTTTGTATAACACATCTCTAGAATAGGGTTTAGAACAGTATATTCACTAATCATAAGTTAGGATTTTCCCCAACCACTTTTTAGGATTTGCACTGGCTTCTAAAGGCATATTTCTGTTGCTGTCATCTGGGAATGGACATTAATGGCCACAGTTGTTTCCTTTCTAATCTCTTGGCATGTAACTCACCTGCTTTGCTTTCGTTAGTCTCTCTGCAGTCTATGTGTGTCATTGAACAACTCACACCCAGGAACATCTATTCACCCATGTACAAACACCTGTGCACAATCACCACTGACACCGTCACCAGGTGTTTCCAGTACTGCACCTTAAAAAGCAGCACCGGCACAGTCTGAACCACATTTTGGGCACCATTAGCGCTGATGCCAGGTCATGACTTTTCTTCTCATTATGAGAATAAGAGCCTAGTCCTGTGTACTGACTATGCATTATGGTATAAATCTATGTTTTATCTCATGCACAAAAAAAACCCCTACATTATATCACTTGTCCTAAATTGAAATCAAGGAGAAATTGGCTCGGTCACTCAGGATAAAAGGCACATATATATTTATATAATGATGTATATGCAGCTGCCATGAGGCAGAATAAGAGCAACGAGTAAGACAAAAAACAGTAATACAGTGAAGCTTTTTTTAAAATTTATTTTGAATTTTAGTTTTTAGTGATTTTAGGATGTTTTAGTTATTGGTCTTAGTGCCTAATTTTATTTCACATTATTTTTTGTTGTTCACTTAATTCAATCTACGGCAGCTCTGCAGTGTGTTTGAATAGTATTTTGTTGAGAAAATGTATTGTACTGATGATCCATATGGGAAGATGTGAAATAGTTGTAACCACTAATTTGTATGTTCCAAAACCTAAATACTTTTATGTTTATGCTAACACATTTTAGTCTTTGTGAAACAGAAGCTGAAGTAATCCTACACTCTGCAAATGGAGATGCTGTGTCTCTTTGGAAAAAAACATTGCCTTGCATCCTTTATAATACTTTCCACTGGCAGATTGCTGTATATTTATGCACTTGTGCTGACAGAGGCTCAGTCATGTGGTTTAACATCAATAAATATTATTAGGTTGTTTTTATTATAGAAGGGATCTCCAAAATAAGCAAATTTAGAGTCAGAATAAATAGGTGATAGAAGGAAAATTAACGGTCACTATTTCAGACTCTTTAGGATCACGTTACCTTACAGGTATCCATACACCAAGATACCTGTCTGGTAAGTTGTGTAAGAAATATGCCTTTCATTCATATGCATCCTACTATCAAAGAAGATATTTGTAAATCTGGGAACTCAAATAAATAAAATTCTTTTAATCCAGATGTAGTTTGCACATTCAGATGTTGTAAAATCATATGAATCAATTCAATACTACTTCTGTTAAAGGCTACCATAGTGTACTGATATAGGACCACCACAATTAACGTTTAGTGGGTTGTGGAATAGATAATTGTAAAAAATCTGAAAACAAGTATCATTCTGCATTAAAATATCTCATGATCAGTGGTAAAAACAAGCTTTCACTCCTTAGGTGTGCGCTTGGCACTCACTGAACTTGCAAAGCACTTCCCAAGCATATGGCAGGTTTTGAAGCTGGGATGAATGCTTTAGAGTAGAGATTGCTTCAGTAGTTGTGAAGTTCTGGGGAGAAGTGTAAAGGGAGGTTTCCCAGGATAGTTACAGAGTCGTCATTAGAAGTAAATCCGACAAGCTTCTATTAAAGATTAAGGCTGTAGAGATCATTCAGTTCTGGGTGTCTGCAAGGAAAGAAAACCAGAGAGAAACATACAGCACTTTCTCTGAAACCAACAAATGTTGAAAGAATGACATAATGTTCCACTTTCAAATGCTCTGGATTTAAATGAATCACTTGAATGGTAAGAGTTCTTGAAAGATCACTTTGCTATAACATAGAAGCCACAGAGAGAAGTGAGCAGCAAGTAAAATGTAGTTAGAATGATACCAGCCAGAGACATCAATAAAAAGCCATTCATCTCAGTCATGGCATTAAGGAGGTAAAATGTATCAGAAATGGATGTAGTCAAGTCAGGCAAGAAGAATTAAAGACTGTGAGGTAATGGTACAGTGTTCTCATAATAAACATACTTAGGAAAAAAGGGAGAGAAATTAGAGGGAGCAGGGTGCTGGAGTCAATATTTTCAAAGCATAGTAGCAAGTGAGTGTCACAGAATTTCAGATAAGATTATGTCTTATATTACACTGAATAGATTTGTGCTCAGTGAATTTGAGCCCTCTATTCCCCCAAAAGTCTTCACAATAGAGCACAAGAGAAAGCTGACAGGTGTACATGTCTTCTAGAAATTTCTTACCACACACCTAAGTTATTTATGACAGATGGAGACATGTCTGGCTAAAAAGCACCAGCCCTTGAAAACCCCCTTTCCTGTAGCAAAAGGAAACAATACATATTGTTGTCCTTTTTCTGTAACTACAAAGTGACTGTTGAGCAGCACTTAGGATGCCATATTATCTTTTCACAGTACATGCCTTCTATAAACAAGATTTTCCTTTTTTGGATTTTTTTTTCTGCCATGTTTGAAATTATAAATAACAGTATATAGATTTGTGTCTCTATATCAGTTCAAATGTAACATTTTGTATTTGATGTGCTTTATATCTGGGGTTTTTATTTGTTTCTTTTATAATTTTTGATTCATGTCTATTTAGGAAACCAGCACTACTCTATCTGGCATAAAGACCATACAATTTTCTCTTTCAGATGGCATAGAGAAGTAAAAAAATGAAACTAGAGCAGCAATACTGAAGTGTGGAACTATACAGGAGTTCTAGATAGAAAAGTGTTGCTTTGAACTGAAGTTGTGAAAAGCAGAAAATTATGGTTGGCCAGCAGCTTGTTCCACCAGATTCTTTATTTTACCTTATTTATTTCTGGTGGAATTATGTCTCCTTCTGAATGAACTGTTACTTTTCATGTAGTACTGACCCCTCACTCACCACTGGTCTCACCATGTGTTCAGAAAGCTGGTAGAGTTCTGTGAAGCTGATAGAGACTTTTCAACAGCAAAGGAAAACTGTCCTGTTCTCCTCTGGCACAGCACTGGCCAGAGGGATGGATACTGCCACAACACTCTTCTGTACCACTTCTAAAAATGCTTCCAAGCAAACAGTGCACTGATACACCAGAACTTTGAAAGAAAACCTCTTCAGGCATTAAAGTGATAACACAAAAATATACCAAATCTCCTTTGAAGACATAGGTTGTGCAAATACATCTTTCATATCAGATAAGTTAAAAGAGGTTTTAATTTTTCTCTGTAGACATGTCACTAAAATTTTTGGTATCCTGTTTAAGAGAAGCAGACATTTGTGTCATATTACAATTAATGCAGTTGGAGGTTTGGGATTTTACTTTGCTTTGAGAGTTGTTTTTTGTGGTTTTGTTTGTTTTGGGGTTTTGTTCTTGTTTGGTTTTGGGTATTTTAGGTTGTTTGTTGTTGTTTAATTATTTACAAGGTTTTGTGTGTGAGTCTAAGGCAATTTGCTACAGCATTGAAAATTATACGTGTAGTTCTGTCTCATCCTCCTGAGAATAGTGAACTTACACTCATTCACTACCATTTCTGCATGCCCTAGAGGTGACTGTAACCTTTTATTGATCATCTGATTGAAGATAAATGACAGAGATGCTGGTACTGCAGTTTACATCATTAACATGGTCAGTAAAGCATGAATTGTTCAATAAGGAGTTTATCTTTTTTCATTTTACACTGCTCTTTTATCATTTTTATGATAGAGAGCAAATTTTCAGACTCTAACCAGGCAGATGAACTTTAAAGATCAGAAATGTGTGTGTGGTAGTTGTCAGAACTAAGTGAAATCTGATAGTTTAAAGATATTTAATAAATGTATTTCACATGAAAAAAATAAAGTTTAATGATAATTTTTCTTACTCTGTTTCTTTTTCACTTTCCTTTTACCTCATACTTAATGGATGCTGTAGTGGAAAAATTAAATGTAAAGAAGAAATTTGTAGAAGAGTACAGTTCCCTCATGATGTACACTGTATGATATTGCCACTATTCATATTTGCAAAGTGTGACTAAAATGTGTGCTGTTTCCTCATGTTTTTCCCCCTCTCATAAAGAGCTGTCAATATGCATGTTCAATACATACACAGAAACCATGAACTAATTAATTGTTGAACAAGAGGAATTAATTAAATTCCTATTAGAAAGCAGTGTGGTATTTGATTCCTGAAGAGAAAAATTGCTGCAAATCAATGCAAAGCTCAAAATTATTTTCCTTTAAATGCATTGGCAGTGAACACATGTGCAGGCTTTGTAGAGAGAGGATGTCTTTGTTATGACTAACACATATTTATACAATTTTAAAAGAATAAGAAACAGCCAAATAACATCTGATTGTACTAATCAGAATAGTAGAAGTAGGATTTATAAAGGAACTGGGAATATCACTGTGATTTTTGAATAGCTAATTTCTTTTAGCTTCTTTGTAAAACACATCTTTATATATATGCTACATAAAAATATATGCTTTTATGTTAGAAAAAATAAATTATTGTAGAATAAAAATATTCTGTGTGGAGTAATACAGGAAAAGCTGTGCTCTCCTCTGAGCATACTGGAGCATAACGTGTGCAATGTATTTAAAAATTCAATAAAATAAAGTTTTTTCTATTATGTTTTTTTTTCACTAGTAGATCCAGTTCTTTCTCAGCTAACAAGTAGCTGCAAGCTCTCACTTGCCTTGGGGAAGTAGTGTAGAATTTTAGCCAGTTATTTCCACCAAGATTTCTTTGGCACTACTAACAAATAATTGCTGCTTCATCACATTTTTGATATTAGAGTTTGAATTCCTATGGACAAACCTAACTGACAAAAAACCAAGACACATGTTTCTGAGTTCATGTGTTAATAATGTTTAGCTCTTATATATGTCTAATTTACGTAAATTAAGTTGTTTTACAACAGATATCATTATCCATATTGGGTGGGGAATCAGAATAAAGATCTATTTGGACTAAATTCACTTAAATGAAGCATGAAACAGAGGTTTTCTGCATGTCAGTCCAGTGTTTCCTGGCATATAATCATGGTCAGTTGCACCTGGTGAACACAGAGGCTTGAGAGAATTTTTATTTGGATTAGAGAAAACAATGCAAACATACTCCAACTACACTGGTAAATTAAGACTGTATAAAACTATCCCTGTATAAAAAAAACCTGCCAGATCTTTAGGAATGGTTGATAAATGCAAGAAATAATGGCCATCATATGAAATTGTGTGATGATACTTTCAAGTAAGCAAAAGAATATCACCCACATGCAAATAAAACAGAGCTGTTGGGATTTTTTGCCTCAGGTTTTACAGAAGCTAAAAATTTACATGGACTCCAATGCCAATGAAACAATGACAACAACAATTAAACAAGATAAATCCATCAAGACATGTGGAAACTATGCTTTAATTTTGTTCAGTAATTCCAGCAAGATGGATTTGAACATCAAATGCATTTCATCAAAATGTCTATTGCAGCTTAGTGATAAGAGCTTCAGAAGGCCAAAGATCCCCAAAATTTATCCCCATTTTCTTCATTTCTACATTGCCAAACATGCACTGGTGGAACTCTGATCTTGGTGCTGATCTTTAACACTTGATCTTTTGTCATGGTGAAAATACAGGGAACATCAGCTAATTCATTAGAAAATATGTCTTTAAAAGTGGAAATTTTCCAGACTACTGTCTTTTTCTCAAATATTTTGCTTTACTGCCCCTGAAAATTTCTGTATCTCCTGGGCAACTGGGTACAAAAAGACATCTTCTCTTGCTGCAAGAGTAAGCAAAAATACTCCATAACCAAATTCCTATCTACTTCATCTGAAAAGAGAGAGCAAAATGAAATCCTTAAACCCAGCTGGAGACAGATTTATGCACAAATGCTCCTGAAACCATAAAATTGCTGTCTTTCTGAAAACTTTGTTGGAAAGTTTGCCAAATACGATTAAAATGCCTTTAAAAGATTAAGAAAGATTGTATTTTTATTCAGAGATTATTTTCTTTTCTAATTTCATATAAACAAATGAAAATGGAAATGCCAGTCAACATTTTTCAGAGATAAAAAGTCATGTAGTTTGAGAGATATTTTTAAGGACAACAAAAAGGACGATACTTCAAAGAAAATAATTTTTTGCCTTTTGTTGTCACAAATGTTGAGTTCTGTCTGCAATGAACATACTTGTTTGTACTACTTATTTGATCTTTCTTGCACCAGCAGAGCAGGAGATGGTCTCTGAAAAGATATTTATTACTGTAAAAATATTAACATTAATTATTTTGATTATATTTTATGAATATTTTTTAAATTCCTTTTCACTATAACCAAGCTCTTAACATCGAATGAAAAACTGATTATTATTTGGGGGAAAGCATTAGCTCAGCAATTTCAGATGACACTGCTAACAAAGCTAAACATTAACAAAAGAAAAAACAGATTAAGTGGATTTTCTGGATGCCCATAGGCATAATTAGTTCAAAAGAAGACTGCCTTTGATCTATTTAATGTTTTTCTCTCCTGGTGCTGCCTGATACGACCTCTAGATGGCAAACGATCCCAAAAAATGGGCTCGGTGCTCTGATCCCTGCCGCCCCTGAGATGCTGCGTCAGGCAGGCTTTGTCCCTCGGGCAGCGACAGCTGGCGTCTGTGCATGTGAAATTAATGGGCTGTAAACGATCACCTTTACGTACAGTGACACAAGGGTGAGGCCCTGAAATAATGCAACTTTTATATTCATACGTACATATAAAATTTTATATGTATGTATATAGAAATACGTGTCTGTGTGTGTTTACGCATGTGTTCATTAGATATGAAATACACAAAGTTATATAGTGCTTTAAAGTTGTTTAAATGTTTAGCCCTTTCAAAAATCATTATGCACTAGCAGGTCCACAGAAGGGTGTGAGAGACTGAAACATTAATGTTTAATGTCTCAATCTGGGTGTTTTGCTGTCGAGGCTCAAGAAACAATCTGTGTGCAGGGGGTGTGAGCACCAGAGGGTGATCATGACAAATCAACCTTTGCTTAGCAAGAAGCTGGGGTTTGAGCTAGATAAGGGAAGGGGCTGATAAGCAGATCCTGCAAGGTGGGATAATGCTTTTAATTCTAGCAGTGTCATCTCTTACCCAACTGGCTCAGTTGTAAAACTCTTCTCCCCCCTCTTGCCAGGAAAAGCTACTGTGACATTCACATTAATCATCCCTTCTGATAGAGTGTAAAATGGCTCTATTATACTGATGTGACAGAAGGTGTCATAAACCATCAAAGACCCCCAAAACGCTCCCAGAGTAATTTCTGAGGCCTTCCAGCAGAGGAATGGGCGTAATCCAAAGTTTTATAACATGATTAATGGTGTTGCATCAGACAGTGTTAAAGTCCCCGTACCAGGGGAAGTATCTGGGTGTTCCATCTGAACTTGAGTGTGTCTCAACTCACTGAGATTGGTGTTTTGTGGTCTTCCCCTACCCCAGATTGATAAAGACTGTGATTATCACTTCGAACAATGGACATCAAAATTGCAACAATGAAGTCTCATTAATGGATCCATAGGTGGTGATGATGTTTTTCTACCATTACCCTTTCTTTCTCTTTCTTCTCCTAATTTTTCTCAAAATATATTGTAAACCAGACTAAAAAATTCCAGTCAATACCTTAGAAAGTGCTTTGTTGTTTCTGGACAAGTTGAAATTGGCTAATTGTAAGTTTGCTAAGTTCAAGTTTGTCAAGTGTCTTACTTACAAAGTAGTTTTAAAATTTGCCACATTGCCAAGAGTGAATTTAAACAATGTTCTCCTAAACCTGCTGAGGGGACCAGGGCATAACTGAGAGCCACAAAGGTAATCTGGGGGCTGGCTAGAGCACCTTTCCCATAAAGAAAGACTAAGAGAGTTGGGGTGATTCAGTGTGGAGAAGAGGAAGCTCTGGGGAAACCTTAGAGCAGCCTTCCAGTACCTAAAGGCGGCTGGAGAGAAAGGCTATGTTGTAGTAGTAGTGTGAAAAATGCATATTTTATGATTGGCTTTTTGCAAATATTACAATGAATATTATATGTGTAATGTTAGAAAGTTATGCTGTGTTAGTTCTCTTAGGTAGTGTGTTAAATATAGTTTTAGGTTATAACATAATGTTAAAATAGAAACTATGTGATGTAAGATATTTTTTACTAGCTCAAGAAAAGGGATAAGATAATCAAGAAACTCTTTGCACAGAAATAACAGCGACAGGACACATAAAGAGTTACTGCCTCCTCATCGGAAAAGACAAACATTCTTCCACCTTCTCTCTGTCTTTATGGAACCACCAGGATTAAGGGGAAGAAATTGACAAAAACCAGAAAACTTCTTAATTTGCAAGGAATTTATGCATCATGTAGGAATATATGAATATGCAACAGGCTATTACTTTTAAGGGTTATTCCTTTGTTCACAAGTCATGTTTTTGGCAGCTTAGTGCCCAAAAACATCCAGACGTCCGTAATTCTTTGCTTTTTATTGTCTCATAGTGTCTTAATTCTCATTGTCCAAATTTTTATTGCTCTAATTTTATTACTACATTTTATAACTATTTTATTACCAATAAAATTAAAACAAGTGATTAGTGTTTTTCACAATAAGACGGGGGAATGGCTTTAAGCTGAAGGAGAGTGTGTTAGGTTTGATATCAGGAGAAAGTTCTTTACTGTGAGGATGGTGAGACACTGGCACAGGTTGCCCAAGGGAAATTGTGGATGCCTCACCCTGGAATTGTTCAAGGCCAGGAATTGTTCAAGGCCAGGCTGAGTGGGTCTCTGAGCAACCTATGGAAGGTGTCTCTGTCCAGGGCAGGATGTGGGAATGATGATCTTTGAGGTCCCTTCCAATGAAACCATTCTATGATTCTATGATTCTATGATTTTGTACTCTAAAATGTAAAAATTAAAGCCAAAATATCTGGCAATAGTCACTTCTCAAGCATGTTTCTGTAGTGCCATCTGTTTAACCCATACAAATCCCAATTTACGTTGACAGGAATAAAGATACAAGTCTTCCTAAATGTAGATCTCATACAAATAAGATCCATTTCCTCCTGTACTGAGGATTCTTCGTTAGAGAATGTAGCAGCGTGTGGCTACAGCGACGATCGTGATCCAGGGAGGCCACAAGGGTGACAGGGAAAGCACACCAGACAAGTCTCTGTTGTTTAGCCGGGCAGTCCATTTTATCCCCCCCATCCCATGCCAGGGGGAGCAGGGGGCAGAGGCCCAGGAGCCTGAGCAAAGCCCAGAGAGCCCAGAGCTGAGAGCAGACGTGAGAGCAGACTCAGGGCCGTGGGGTTTTATCAGGTGTCCCACTGGAGTAGTCTGAAAATCAGATTACAGCCTCCTCAGAACGGGAAGGCTCCACCAGAGAAGGCACTGTGGATATCTCCCTTTGTGCCTCTGGACTTCCTCATTGTCTGACTGGGCTGTAATTTTCAAGGCTAGGTATTCTAAATGAGACGTAAGTATAAGACCTAACAGGAGGACTTCAGGGAGAGATTTAAAACATCTCAAAGTATTCATATAGCCACTATGCAATATCTCATTTTTTGTATTCTTAAAAGAAAGAAACTTGATTGAATTTTTTCTCTGTAGTGTCTGTGT